GTCACTCCACTTCTCTTGGGTTCATTCAGTCATCACGCAGGGAGTGCTTACCTCTGTGTGTCAGGGACTGAGCCAGGAGCGGTGAAATCCACATGTTAGAAAAAGCCTATTATGGAGAATTTTTTAAATATACACAAGTGTATGTGTAATGGACACATTCACAAGTATATTCTATAGGTACAAGTCTATGGAATACTTGTAATGTATCTGTCTGTGCCCATTCCCTGCTCAACAACCATCAACCCACGTCACTGCTCCATCACATGCCACTCCTACCCTCCTAATCCCTGTACCGTTGTGAGTCACATGGCCTGTAAATATGACAGAATGTTTTGCAAGATAGGGATTCTTTAAAATATACATTAACCACCACAACTTTATCACTTTCTCCAAATCCACATTTTTTTCTTAATATATTCAAATACTGAGAAGTCAGATTTGAATAAAACCTAGGTCTAATGACCAAGGAATTCATAGGCTAGTGGAACAGGCAGACAGGGAAATTAGTGATTGGGAGTAGAGTGGAATCATATGATTCTGTGAATCTTTTGACCTAAGCATTTTGTGTACAGCAGAGAAAGACACACAGTGACACAAGAGAAGGGAAGGGGAAGGGAAGGCAAAACAGGGGAAAATAGTAATTTAAATACTCAGAGACACTTTTCCTCCTTCCTTCCTCGAGGAGCATGTGGCCAACACAAGTGTCCATGGAGACAGGAACCCACGTTTCCGTTAGTCAGTCTCATTTCCGGCTTGACTTTCAGAGCGTGAACATCTCACCTCCATGACTGTAGTTTAAGTGTTTAAATATTAATTTTCGTTAAACAGCATTGATCTCATCTCCTCAGCAAGACTGGGAGCTCTTACAGGGTGGGGGGGATGGGAAGGAACTGGAGCTGACCTTTCTCACAACACATTAACCACAGCAGGATGAATGACTCTCCCACAAAAGGATCCCTAATGCTACTGGTTGAGGGTTTAAGTTAAAACCTCACCTGGAGCTCTTGTGGTTCTTATGTCTCATTAACCTGTTTCATCTACTGTTGTGGATCCAGGTTCAGCAAGAAGAACCAGGACAGCATAAATCCTTACACATACCTGCCTTTTGGGACTGGACCCCGAAACTGCATCGGCATGAGGTTCGCTATGATGAGCATGAAACTGGCTCTCGTCAAAGTCCTGCAGAACTTCTCCTTCAAACCTTGTAAAGAAACACAGGTCAGACAGTTCACTTTCTGCATTCACAATGTTTCATTGCGGGTTGTTTTCTTAACTGAGGGTTCAGTCTCTATGCCTAAGAATGTGATCTATTCAAAGAAAAATGTATTCTCTTCGGCTGAGAATCTATTTGCCATCAGCTCAGGAGGGCTAAGTCTGTGGCTTCATAGAGACTCAACTATAATGTTCATCTAGAGTCAGTGCAGTTGGCATGGCCTGATTATACGCAGTCCACTGAAATTCAGCAACATTTTAAACTTGGTTTCAAGTCTGCAGGAAGGAAGGGGAAGTGTGTGCACAGTCGTGAGTGCAGTGATGACCATGTCATGCCTTTTCAACAACATGATTTTCCACCAGGACTTCCAGAAGCTCTCCTGGCAGCGGTCCTCAGCCACTGCTTGCAGAATGAAATCATGGGGGAGTTAAAAACCCTAGTGCCTAGGTCATCTCGGACGTTCTAATGTAATTCCCCCAGAGTGCGGCATTCAAAACGTCTCAGTGCAGCCAAGGCGAGAATCCCTGATTGAAAGCATTTCTGCCAGATGTGAAGACTCCCACGGTCACCCTCACCTTCCGGGAGTCCTGCTGCCATTGGGCTGGGCTCCCTTTGCATTCCAATAATAACTCCATGTGTGTCCTTCCCGCTCCCCCCACCATTCTGTCCTCCCCCTTCAAGTTCTAGTTCAACCCCTAAGCCTCTCCACAGAGCCTCCTCCAAACAGTCCTGAGCCCATTTGCTGCTCTATTCTGTTACTGGTTTACACAGGCTGACGTCATGGGTCCAACCATCTACCTTAATACTTCATCATTGAACCATCCAGTTTGGTTTCTGTGTTTCCTTTGCACCTAAGAACGTCTTTAACTCTAGCCCCTCATTGTGTTCCTTTCATAAATGCCTAATGGTGCCTCCCAGTCATCTGGTAAAGGCTTAAGGAGTGATGAGCAGTTAATTTACAGGTCTTGGATACAAACGTTAAACTGTTGGAACTTTAAAGATTTAACAAATGACATCTATGTACGTGCTTGTTCTGTGTGTGTCTGTTTGTCTGCAGGGGAAATATATGCATGCCATTTGAAATTTTAAAATACAAGATGTTATATTTACAGAAAGATCTGGAATCTTTCCCGGAGAGCACAAGGAATAGTTGCCACTGATTCATAGCAAGCTCGACCCTATAATAAGGCTTATTTCTAGGACTCATACATTTAATAAGCAGCCCCCCCCCTTAAGTAGCCTTTCTCAGGGAGGCAGGGGATGGAGATGGTTCTCATTTTACTTGTGGGCATCCTTATGGCAGTTCTGTAACGGTGGACAGACAGGGGACTTGGCCCCGAGAGAAAGGGGGCCTCCCGCACATCCGGGAGGGGGCAGACACTCCCTGTAAGCTCCACCCAGTCATCCACAGGCTGGGCTTCTCCCCTCCGTGACAGTTTGCTTTCCCTTCTGTCAACTGACATTGGAAGGAAGCTCCACCAACACTGATGGAGTGACTGGGTGAGAATGGAGCTAAAAGTATCAGAAAAAATAAAAGCACTGCAAGTCTTCAGAAGTTCACCATTTGTACTATACTTGGGAGCCAGGAGATATTTAGAAACAGGCATGATGCCTCACAAACACCTCTCCATCCTGAAACTGGATGGGTTCTACTGGGAGAAGTAACTGAGCTCTTTGGAAGCTGAGAATGGCCCATACAGTTAACCTGCGTCATACCTGCACAGGATTACCTTTTGAATTCCAGCACACAAAAGATTACCTCTATATCCTTTTTCAAGATATTTTGCCATAATGTCTAAGAATCTGGTACGTTTTTAAAACTCAGTATTTTTACTTAAAATTTAAATCAATAAAGAACACAGGCCAACCTGATTCTGTATCAAACCTGGTATAGAGTAAGTGTACAATAGACAGTTTTTGGAATAAATGATGGATGAATGTTCTCACTATCCAGTCTTAACACAGCTTATAGAATAAGTATAATGGATCAAAAAATGAATGTGATCGAAAGGTACAAATGTCCAGTTAAAGTAAGTCCTAGGGCTGTAATGCAAACGTGATGACAACAGTTAACATTTCTGTTTGGTATAAGAGAGTAGCTCCTCAGAGTTCTCACACAGAGAAAACAATATTTCTTTTTCTATCTACACGAGATGATGAATGTTAACAAAGTGTACCTTGTTAATAATTTCACGATATGTAGAAGTCAAATCATTATGCTCTACACCCTAAATTTTTGCACTGCTATAAGTCAATTATAGCTCAATTAAAAATGGATTAAAAAAACTTAAATAGGGCATAATAAGGGAATACTATGAACAACTTTATTCCCATGTGTTTTATAACATATGTTAAATAGACCAATTCTCTGAAAGAGGCAAACGGTTGAAATTCAATTAGGAAATATAGACAGCCTGATCATTCCTATATCATTAAACATATTGAATTGGTAGTTTTTAAAAAATCAGATGCACATGATGCTAAAAATAGCTTTTATGTGTTTGTAAAGCTATTTTCTGTAATGTGTCTTGTCTGCTTTGCTTTCCTCCGCGGCAGTGCTTCATCATTCAGTTCTCATGAGCTTGTTTAACTGTTGCAGATCCCCCTGAAATTAATCACTCAGTCGCTTTCACAACCGGAAAAACCTGTTGTTCTAAAGGTGGAGCCCAGAGATGGGACTGTAAATGGAGCCTGACTTTCCCTAAGGACCTGTGCTTTATTCTGCGAGGAAGCTGCATCCCGGAACACCAGAGACCTGGACTTTGTGAGAAAACCCAGAAATAAAGGCGGGCGTCACCCACTGCACGTGATGGGTGACTAGGGATTCTGTGCGTTCACTTAGCTCTCTCAGGGTCTCTCTCAGGGTCTACGGGGAGTGTTGTATGTTGTGTCACATGAAGGAGGTGACTAGGAAGGGCCAGATATGTAGACTCAGCTTCCCGAGTTCTCACAGGACCATCTCCACCCACCCCTAGTTAGTACCATCTACTCCTCCTGAGTGCTGATCAGAATGAAAATTTCTCAACAATTTTATCAACAGACCTAGTGAAAATAAGAATGATAGTGGTGACTGAAGTAGTGACATTTACGTCACAGATTTTATTTTGAATGTTCTAAATTAAATATGATAATGAACAAGTCAATAAAGATCTCTCTACCAAAGTATTATCTGATGCCAGGCTGCACGTTAAGGGGAACGTACCACTGAATCAGGGAGATTCAGATGCTAAATGCTTTGGACCATCACCATCACTGGTGGGTGGGCCTTTTCCAAAACTCCAATTTGATATATTAAATAGTAAGAGTTAATCCACTGGGACTTCATCCACTGCTTAGAAACTATGTTCATAGTTTAAATCTACCTTTTTTGGAGCAAATATTTTTCATACTACTTTGTATTCCACCCTCAATTCCCAACTGTCTTAACAAAATGAACGTGGTATAGAAGATGGTTGATTGGTCAACTGACCGGGCAGAAAGACTACAAGCACTGGTCAGTTTCACTTGGTATCGGAAGCTGCACAGGGCTCCTCCTTTCCCTCTTCTACGTCTTTCCTCTGCTCTCCTTCCCCCGCGTCACCTCCCCTTCCTGGATAGTCCAGTCTAAAACCAGCAGGTGGGGCATGGAGATGGGCAGGCACGCGCTGCAGGGCAGGACAGAGAACGCAGGCACAGGGGCTCCAAATCAGAGACCAAGTAGGGAGGGCAGGGTGTCCACAGGGATGGCAGCCTGGCATGGCTGTAGGGACCCGCAGCACCCACTCAGATGGGTGGCCTGCAACAGCAGCCAGAGCCTAAATACCGGGGTGGAGATCCCGATTATGGTGAGGGGGGCATCCATGTGTGGAAAGAGATGGATCATGGACTAGGTTGATCAAGGAAGTAAATATATACAGGATGATGGAGGCCAGAATTCTCACTGTTGGAGAAGGGAGTCACTTATCTAGACAGGGAGAAAACCAGAATAAAGCCTGTGGAGTCAAAGACTGGAATGGGATGTATCTGCGTAAATCCATGCTTTTCTAGGTAGACAGATGATAGCAGAAGAGATGATATAGACAGACAGATGATAGATAGACAGGTGGATAGATAGATACAGATACAGATAGATGGGTATGTGTGTGTGTTTGTGTAGCTATAAAAACACGTATTACCCACTTCTCTCCACTGATACAGTTTAGAAACAGCGACACCCCAATAGCAATAAGCATATCTCGTGCCCAGACCTTGGCTTGTAAACATCATTTTCCACTGAAAGAAACCAGATCTTCTTAGAGAAATGGCTGATTCCAGTTCTGGGAAAGTACATCATGATCCTGGAACATCTTGGGCTAGAAAACAAGGAAATGTGAAGATTGAGGTGGACTTGTCAAAAGGACGCGAAAGCTAGCCTGATGGATCACCACTGACCAAATCAAGGACAAGCTGACCATCATAATAAATATGGAAAGTAAGAGATTATAAGCCGTTCAAGAAAACAGAAAAACATGAGAACACACAAACAAATATAAATAAATGGATAAATTGCAGTTTGATGAGGATACTTGCATAGCTTCAAAGTAGTGTTGCTCAAAATGCCCATTAGTTACAGGGGGGAAGGGTTAGCTTCAGAGGGGAGAAAGGTGCTTTCAAAGCCTAAGCAGAAATGGGATGGATTAACTGATCACACGTCAAGGGTGCAGTGACAGGATGAGGTGAGAAGAAATTGCTTCACCTGTGTGATGTTTCTGCCAAGCAGGCAAACCTGAAAGAAATCCTGAAAAGAAGACGGACAAACCCAAACTGAGGAATATTCTACTCCTGGTCTGTTACTAGTTTGTCATCTATGAAAGCATGAAGCTCATGAAGGCAAAGCCGGGCTGACAATGTTCCAGATGAAGGAGACGCTGGAGAGGGGACATCTAAAGGTGACTCACAGGCCAGGTCCTTCTGCGATAAGGACATGGTGGGGACAGGTGAGGAGCTGGGGGCTCTGAGGTCAGATGGCAGTCACGTACAGCGTGAACTTCCTGACTTGGAGGTCGTGCTGTGGTCATGTGCTGGCACATCACCATTTGTGGGTGAGACGGGGTGTGAAATACC